TGACTCTTAACGAAGGAAAGAAAAAGTTAAAGGAGAATTTTTAGAAGTAAATAGTAAGGACTGAGAAGACTAAGCTAAAAATATTTAGACTTTTTAAAAAAAATTTACACATATTTGTTTACATCTGCAAATCTGCTGCTTTATCAGATTTGGGATCAAAATGTCAAAATCCTTCTGGAGAAGGTTTAATTCTATTGTTTTTGAGAGCATGAGCTATCCCTTTTTATTAACACAATTTCTACACATGCATGCAGTCCACAGCTATGGTGTAAGCCTCTGTATTCAGTGTCTCCAGCTATCCCAAGTTATCAGACTGAAATTTCTTTACTTTTTCAAACTATATAAGCTGAAAGCCAACACATCCATTAGCCATCCTGCATGGACACACCTGAGGGTTGTTAATTTGTAAATAAACATTTAAATCGCTAAAGCCCACTTGAAAAATCATTAAGACTTAAGTAAAAATGTGTTCATGCTTTCAATCAATCTATAAAAGGGTGCAAGGAAACAGCTTCTGAATCCTGTGAAAGCTTCATAGTAAAAGACTGATAATAAAACTTAAAACTTGTAGGTGATAATTCAAAAAGCAACTGCGCTCACAGAAACTTCAAAAACCACACCAAGTCCAACTGGTCAACTTCCAGATCATTAATTCATCTCCTACTATCAATGTGAACTACGGATTCACCTACAGCTATCTACTACTACTACCATCAGGTTCGTCTTATCATATTGAAACTGCACATTTGTTAGTTTGTGCAATAAAGTAAATGCAGCACTGAAAGGGTCTCAAAATGCTGAATCTTGTTTCAAACTTATTACAAAAAATAGCAATTACCATATAAATAACAAAGAAAAAAAGACCAGGAGAAGAAAGCTCTGCATGTTTATAAAATATATAGCAGACCTTGAAAAGGCATCAAAGGCTGGTGCCTTCCCCTGCTGCCTCACTGTTGCACCACAGTACTCACTTTGAGGTACCAGAACTGCTGGCACAACGGAAGACAGTTTCTCATTGTACAACTGACGTTCAGCTGACAAAGAGTTAAAGATGAGACACAAACCCAAAGAAAGACGGACATTTTCTGTTAGGACTGTCACTGTCAATAAAAATCATGTACTCTGACACATCCAAAAAAAAAAACCAAACCAAAACCACTGCAATTCCCGCATCAGAAAGATTGTGGCTGTTTTTTAAGGTTTAAGTCTGACCTTTGTTTTCCAACACGGCTTTTGTATTTTGCCTCATTACAGTATTCATACTCCATCAGATATTCCTTTCAGAGGGCTCCAGTGGATGCCAGCAGCTGGGAAGCTCAGCCAGCAGCCAAACAATGCCTGAGTTCAGAAGCGAGCCCAGGATTCCTGCCTCCAGGCTTGGCAAGCACTGGGACTGTTACGGAGGTGATTCAAGTCCATCAGTCTCTGGAAGACAGCCACCCTCTGTCTCTTTTACAACCCCTCCCCTCATCCCCAGCAGCCAATTCAGTCTGCAGTTGGGCTCACTGTTAACTAAGTATTAGGAGGATAAAAGTACACAGGGAGGTCCAAAAATGGAAAGCCAAGAATAATGGTGCAGTTGAAAACAGTCATGCCTAAGTTGCATTCCTGATAATTATTGCTGCTGCTTTTTGAGACAGCAAAGGAAAAAGTACAACATGATGCCAGAAGAGTTCTAGTTGTCAAGTAGAAGAAATATGGGCTAACCCTCCTTTATGCATGAATCAAATGCATTAACAGAAAATCTAATGGATGTCTTGAAATACAATTAACCAAAACAAACTATGTGGTAATACGTGTTGGATCACATACACATCCACTCCCTTCTGGCACACACACGGTGTGCACACATCCATATGGATTTATTCCTTTTTCACCACTCAAAGATGCTGTGGCCACTGTAGACCATTGTGGACCCCAGCCCACTTCAGTCCTGGTCACCCACTCCAGCTGACGGTTGCTCAACAGGACTTGCTACGGTAACGCAAAGTATTCCACAAGGCGAAAAGCAACCACATTAAGGCTCAGAAGCAGCTATAACTAACTTGTAAAAGCCGGCCTCCAGCTGCAATGCTAAAAGCCCTGCACACAGAAAACGCTTTCCCTGTTTGCGTCACCATGCTACCTGCCATGGCTCTCAATGGTTTACTTTTTCCCCCAGCATGTAGTTTATGTGCAAAAGCAGGGTAATCAAGTCTTACTTACTTCACTTCTTGAAGCAACAGCTCGATGGAGAGGAGTCAGCCACATATTGTCCTTGGCATTAACACGAGCGCCTGCAAGTAAACAGCAGAGGTTACATCCATGCCTTGGGTGCAACATTGAAAGCCTTGCCCAACTGTTTCCTAGTGACAACAGCTGAGCCATATGTGGTAATCTCAGCACTCCCCACAACTCTCCTGGCACCCTGTTCACCTTGGAAATGCATTTCCAGATCCCGGATAGATAGAAGCTGAAGCATGATTCCGGAAGAAAGGAACTGGATAGGTCTGACTCTTATCAGGAATCGCTTTGTTTAAAGGACACAAAAGATTTCTTGTAGGGGATTACATATGTATGTATGTATGTATGTATGTACATGTATGTCTATGTATATCTATTTTTTTTAGATCAACTTATACAGTTGGGGAATAAAAAGCTCAGAGCACTGCTGCTGTCTGCAGATATAATGAAGGGAGTGAGTCTGTTGTTTCCAGCTCCATCAGGCAGACCACTAAAAGATACAACCACTTCCCTGCTTCGCAAATCTTGCTAGAATCAAGTAAACAAGACCAGGAAATGCTCAGGTTGAGAAGGAAACTGGGCACTTACTGCCTCAGCTTCTGTGGGTGTTATTCAGCAAATGTCAGAAGAGA